TGCATGCATATTAACGGATGATTTTTTCATCAATAAAAATTAATAATAAATCGATGATCAATCGATCAAAGTCACAGCAAAAGCAGCCATCAATTATTCATCGATTTCCTATATCAGTCGATTGATAAATATCGATTGGTATTGATTGATATCGATGCTCATCGATTTCATCGATTAAGTACGCCGGGATTTATATAGTTAACTGTAAACGAAAGATATTCAAGCAGCAATAATAATCTTCTTGAACTACAAGATTTTCTCTACAATGTTTAAGTTCTGTTAACAAGCATTTAAACTTTTGTTTAACCTGGTGACTTATTTCAATACATCAACAATCATCACACCTTCCATCATGTAAACAGCCCAGGAAGTAGGAAAAGTGCAATTTGAATACCAAACACCTTCCACAAGGTCAAAGGTCAGCTAAATATTCTAATTCTACTTTCTTGGCATGGACTGTTTTACATATATGAATACCTTCAATGCTCAATCCTTATAAGTTCTCGCTTTTGTATTTATAATTATAATACTGTCAGTGGTGAAGCTAGCCCACTGATCTATTAGACAGTGAGCTAGCCATACCAACAGGTCATGCTACAGTATGTAAGTTTTTAATAATTTGCATTATTCAAATAGATCCAGGTTTATAATTGTGACATGACCAGTTGCCATTGTAGCTTACTTGCCACTGAATACTGTACAACATCATATTATATATAAACAATAATAATACTTGAATGAATCATTGGACATGTAAAATTTAATAACAATTTCATATACAGAAATATTAAGTCAGATTTTGACCCAATTATCATTTTAATGGCACCTTAAAGGATTAGTGACAGGGTCATGTATTGCGGGCTTTTGTTATTGTATACATTTTATATAAATACAACAAATAGCGATAAAAATACCTTGTTTGGTACATTTCTGATAAAAATCACACAAAAAGAGCTAGTATTATAAAAGGATGGTTTAAATATATGACAGATTGTAAAAAATTCCCAGATCATCAATCTATTCGTCCCGAAAAATGGCCGCCAGCAGGAGTTTGAGCCCGTGAATTCCCGGTGTGACACTAATCCTTTAAAAGTAATCTGCGATCAGACCTATAAATAAATAAATAGGCCTGATACACACCTTAACAAAAGATCATGCCTTACAATCGTATTTCGGATGTAAATCTGATTGGTCTATGAGACAAAAAGATTTTTTCTTTTGATTGGTTGGTGCTAATTATATTAGATTATAAAATAAATTGTTCTTTATAGCGATCACAGCTATAATTAGATTGTGGTTGTCCTTGCGTGTGAAATTTAAATTTTCCTGCGACATTTTGATTTGATAATAAATATAAACTTTGCTGCACATGGGTGGAAAACTATTGGATTAAGGTTTGTGTCAGGGTAAATTTGAGAAATAGAGCCTGATCTAAGGTTACCCCAAAGCTGACCACACTACCATAGAAAGAAATTTTGTATTGGAGGGTTGGTTAGTCTGGTATGATTATTGCTAATTCACAAATTACTGTATTGTTGCTACGACCCTGACCCCTAAATTGCAAAACAACTGAACCATCTGCTGATGTCTGATGGGGAGACAAAATCTGTTTGTCGACAGTTTTGTTTCATACGTCAGCTTCTGATGACATCATTCATTTGTGATGATTAAGATTGTACTCAGTCAGAACTGCAAAACTATATAATACAAGAAATTGTGAGCATTATAAAAAATATAGTATACCCTGAACTGTAGTGTCAGCCAGGTGAATATATTATGCTAACAAGTAGCAATGGACATACATCTTAGAGATATATTTGTACAGACAATCAAATGTCGGTTGACATGATATTACATAAACTGCTGGTAAGTTGGTAAATATGTGCAGACAACAATCCACACTGGGATGCTATAGGAATGTCTTTGTACAACAGTACAAGTCAGATACTTTTTCATTCGTGTAGAATTATGTGTTCCAATGCGATACTGTACGATACTGCTCAATTGATATTTCCATAATAACAATATTATAATAAACTATCACTGTGATTATTTATACCTTGAAGTACGATGTTCTTATCAAGCTCAAACAGATTTTTTACTCCACTTGTTTATATGAAGAGTTGTATTCTTGTATGACAGCTAAATTAAAATTTAATAAAAATACAGTTAATTCATTCGTTTCAATGGGTAAAATAATTCGACCAAAACACATTAATTGTTATTTGTGATCAAACTTTCTTCTTACCTTGAAAAATATTTTCGATATTAAAACAGCCAGACTCAAGACAAATATTTCGATAAACAGTCAGACATAAATTTGCAACAGGCAACGTCCAACGAGGCACATGTTTACAAATTGTAATCGTTCATGGTGGTGTTCGTGAGTCTCAACCAGGGTATTCGGAAAGTCAAATCGCGTTCTGGGGTATGTTATTTTCTAAAATTTCTGTGACGTCAAAATACGTCATAACTGATCATCCGTACTTACATGCAAAATCAAGTTCTCGTTCGGCAATACATAACTCGGCCAAAGAGACTGGACACAAGTAATCGCAATACTTCATGTTAAGAATAGTGTGCTGCCTTCGGCAGCAATTACTTTATCGATGGCGCGATAATTTATGTTCATCTTTGACATTAATTTATGTTACACGATGATACTCCGAAGGGCGACCGAGAAAGATTCGAAATTTAAAATACGGCGGAGAAAAAATAAAAAATAAAGATGGGAGTGAAACGGCCGAACACGTGATGGGGGTATTGGCCAATGACAATGCGTATATCCAATTTTATTTATCTGGCCATGCTCATTGGTCAAGAACTATCAACCCTATCAAAACTTGAATTGCTTTGAATCGTAGCTCCCTAGCAGTGAATTTTCGACAGCAGAGAAACAAAAACATTTGCGAATGCTGGACACAAAATACAGTATTAATAATTCATGAAGAAAATTCAAAAGAAATGTTTAATAATCAATGTTTGTAAATCGATCGCATAAAAGATTTGTAAATTGTCCTCATTTACATAAACTTCAGCTTCGATTTTCTCGGCTTAGACAATGTTTATTTTTAAAATTACTTCGCCAATGAACTCATATGATGGGTCGTCTTTTAAGCACGTTAAAACATGAGCAGCCAATGTTCATCTGATGTACAAACTCTCGCCATTGTCGCCAAGTTTAATAATATATTCTATTGTGACTCACTTGAACTAAATTATAGTAGGTAAAATATAAAACGGTAAATCCGAAAATAATAATAAAAAAATTTATTTTCGGAGTTACCGTTGTTTTATATTATACTAAAATACTCAGTGGTTCCCGTAATAGTAGGTCTCGTTTTGTTTCCGGTTTGTTCCTAGCAACATCAAAAGTTCCTAGCAACAGTCAACCAGCATCAGTGGATAATAGTTCGGCCGTTTCGCTCCGCTCTTTAGTTTTTATTTTTTCTCCACCGTATTTTAAATTTCGGATCTTTCTCGGTCGCCCTTCGGAGTATCATCATGTAACATAAATTAATGTCGAAGATGAACATAAATTATCGTGCCTGCGATAAGCTAATAATATATACCGCTTTCAACATTCAAAGTGGCGCCCGATGAAAACATTTACATGTAATTAATAGATTAGTATAAATTTACACAAATAGTTCTGGCGTGCTCCCTTGCACTATGATCCTTCTACAAAACAATTTTTCTCATTCAAGTTGAAACTTATCGCAATGTATTGAAAATTGTTTGAAATAGGTTGTAAACAGATAGCGGAATCAGCGGAAATTATTATTATTATTATTATAATTCATTTATATAGCGCCATTTCCCATAGCTCAATAGCGCTTAACATTAAGTGTTAAAAATATATACTAAGTGTTAGAACATAGTACATGCATTGACTACTAAAATTACTATACTATAAAATTACTAAAAAATAATTATATGCTCTTCTCGTTAAGAGTACTATATAGAATACTATAAAATTGCTAATAATCTTGTTAAAATAATAACTTAGTCATAATACTGTTTAAAAAGATGTGTCTTTAATCTGGTTTTAAAAATAGGCAAGGTCTCACTCTTTCTAATACACTTTGGCAGTTCGTTCCACAGTTTCGGTGCAGCATATGAGAACGATCGTTCACCATAGTTCACTAGTTTTACTGAGGGTATGGTAAGCAATCCTTTGGATGAGGAGCGTAAATTTGCTGATGGTGTGTAAGGTTTTAGCATATTATTAATGTAATGTGGAGCTGAGCCATTCAGAGATTTATACGTAATAAGAACAATTTTATAGATGATGCGTTGACTGATGGGGAGCCAATGTAATTGTTTCATTAATGGAGTAATCAACCTCGTTCCCAGGGCTTCAGTGTGAGGACGAGGCGAGACACGAGGAAGCCCAGGTCCGGGCCGGTCAATTTTGCATTCTGATTGGCTAACACCATATTGTCTAAAAATAACTGAACTTGACAGTTGACAATAACAATTCAACATTTGTATTTTTATACGATTCTTGTGCATGTGTACGAGTATGTTTTGCAAAATAATCTTTCAAAGTAAGACGTTTTCTTTCAGATCAGTGCGTTTTCCCGACTGCATGATTTACTTTCACCTCGGCCGGTTACAAAACTCAAAAGCCGTGTCGAAGTGAGCTGTGATGTTTCCTGACAAAACAAGAAACGTCTACTATTATTTAAGCTGTAGTTTCCTTGTACAGTATTTATTAGTGCAGATGTCTGATGAAATACAACGCGTACTGCATTGTAGTAATATTTTAATTTACAATATTCTGTACTGACAAATAAAAGCAAGACAAACAATTAAATGAAGCTACTAAATTAATTTAGGCCCTGTTTACTTAAGGTGGCTCCCTGCACTTGATTTAATAGGGATCTGGTAACGAAAGAGCAAATTTCGCGGCGCGGGACTTACGCGGGACAATTTAGCAAGTCGCGGGAAAAATATCGCGCGCGGGATTTTTAAATGCCAAAGCAAATGTAAATAACATGGCAGCGAGATTTAATAATCGTCTTTCGTCCGGAAAGTTTGGAAATATAGAAGCAAAACAACGAAGAAGTGTAGAAAAACGAATGAAAGGGATTCAAACTTGGAAAACGCAACTTATTTCAAGCCAGGAAAAAGAAAATGAAACTTCTGAAACAGCGAAAAACATCGCGATAACAACTCGTTCAAACACGGTAGGCCGCGTTAGTCTGTACGTTCACATCTGTTGTGTTGACCTAAATTTTAAACGAAGTTGTTAATTCAATTATTAAAAATTAGGCAAAACAACAAAGAAAGGAAAATCTACCTCAGGGCAGCAGAATTGTCGACATAAACATTCTAAGTCAAGGATTGGATTGTTGTAAATTGTGCAAAAAAGGTAAACAGAGGCAACCATACAGTATGTTGTCCAATTTTCGGACAGTAAAGTGTTTTCACACTATATTTTGCGATTTAAGATGTTTAGCAGGTTCAAATTTGTACAGATGACGACCACTTCCCATTGCTACATCGTTAAAGTTCTTTAATTTTTCTGTAATATCGAAAACAAGTATAAGTATTATGAATAATGGCCTTTTTTGACCTTTACTCAAAGTGTTCACGTTTGCACAAAACAAGAGCAAAAACGTCGAAAATATCGAGCAAGATTCAGGACATATCGGGCATTCATCTGAACGTATTGATTTTTATTTTTTTGCTATTCTTCATAAAAAAATTTGAGGATAAAAATATTTCGTCCGAACTGGTCCGAATAGTGGTTCTGTCCGAAAATTGGACAACATACTGTATAATATGAAATATTTTGTTGTATTTATCTTCTGTACATAAAAATATGCGCTGTTTATTATTAAAACTACATACAGCCTATTATGTAAATACGTAAATATCTGAATAAACTACATAGTTTCTGGTAAAATATGTAAATAAAGTACATACAGCTTGTTTAATAGAAAATTTGTAAGAATTTGAAAAATAAAGTTATACATTATTATTTTTAAGGGCCACTATCATTGAGAGACATTGAAAATGAAAAACAGTTTGGTCTTGCCAGCCAACTTAGCATTCAGTGTAAGCAATGTGGTCATGTTAATGATGTTGAAACATCACTGGCTCACAAGTCTGCAGTTACAGGTGCTACTGTCTACAATATCAACACAAAAGCAGCTTTGGCTGGTCTTCATACTGGGATTGGTGAAACTCACATGAGGGGAATTTTATCAGTTATGAATATTCCAGCAATGAGTCGGTCTTCATGGAAAACAAGAGAGCGTGAAGCTGGCAAAGCAGTTGAGTCTGTCGCACAACAATCTTGCATTGAAACTATAGAAAAAGAAAAACAACAAGTAATTATTAATGGCAAAACACCAGATGAAAATAATCTGTTACCAATTTCGTGTTCATACGACATGGGATGGCAAAAAAGGGGGAAAGGCTTTAACTCCAATACAGGCCAATCGGCAGCAATGGGTGTTCATACAGGAAAAATTATGGACTATGTCACCAAAACCAAAACATGCAGAACATGTCAGCATGCCAAAAAAAAACAATGTAGCACCTCGAAAGCATGATTGTCGCAAGAATCACAGTGGTTCGTCAAAAGGAATGGAACCAACAGCAGCAGTTGAACTATTTAATAACATAACAAAGCACAATGCCAAGTATGCAACATACACAGGGGACGATGATTCAACCACTGAGAGTTTTTTACATGCGCAAGTTCCATATGGTATTGAAAAGTTTAGTGATATCATCCACATAAAACGATCTTTGACATCCAGACTTCACAATCTTACAAGCATGAAAAAATTTCCAAACTGTTCCACTTTGTCAACTAAGGTGATTGATTACCTTGTGAAATGCTTCATGGTAGCAGTCAACCAAAATAAAGGTGACCCAAAGTCAATGCAAACATCTTTAAAGTGTATTGTGCCGCATGCCTTTGGAGATCATACCAAATGCAACGAGTCTTGGTGTCGATGGAAGCAAGACCCCACACTTTACAAGCATTCTTATCTTCCTTATGGAAAAGATTTGCATGGAGAAGAACTAAAAAATGCTCTGAATGACATTTTCTGCCAGTATCATTCAGATACCATGGTGGAAAAGCTTTCACCTATTAATAACTCACAAAGGAACGAGTCATTTAATAGTACAGTTGGTTCGAAGACACCCAAAATCCGCTTTTATGGTGGTAGCGACAGTAATGATTTTCGTGTTGCTAGTGCAGTAGCACAAACAAATGTAGGCTATGGCTACATTTCTAAAACATTGGAATCTCTTGGTATTGATCCTGGAAGGAGATGTGAAAGCTACGTTTGTGAAATGGAGAAAAAAAGAGAAAACGACAGCATTCGAAAACAGTCGTTGAAGTTCAAGAAGAGGAGGAATGAAATTCGAACACAGAGAATTCATGGGACCTTATCGAATGAAAAGAAGGAAGGTACAACATATCAGAAAAACATTGGTCCAACATTATCAAAAGATTGTGGTGTTAGTTGTGAAAATGATGAAGCTTTGCAAACTGATATACCAGATGACAATCTCGGTGCTTATGAAAAATTTGTGCTCCCCTACACACCAACACCCGAGTGTTCTCCTGTAGAGATTAATGAAGCAGATTTATCCTACAATATCATCCTATTTGACACTGAGACAAATAAGATGGGAAAAGATGCGGAACTATGTCAAATAGCAGCAATAAACCAAGCAGGTGATCGATCCTTTTCAGAGTACATTTTACCAAACAAGAATATAGAAAAACATGCATCGAAGGTGAACAATCTTACTATACGAACTATAAACGGTCAACGAGCACTCTTCAAGGAATCTAATCCAGTTCAAACGCTTACCTGCGATGATGCCTTGACCCTTTTTGTCAGTTTCATTGAAAAATCTGCGAAAGAAGTCGAGAAATCAACATCAAAGAATGTCTGTTCTGTTCTTGTAGGTCATAATGCCAAGCGATTCGATGTTCCTGTGTTACTTCGCAACAGCAACAGCAGCATAATAACAAAATTCCAATCCTTGTCTATTTGTTTCGCTGACACCCTTACGTTGTTTGAATACTTGGTAAAAAATTCAATTCTGCAAGACCAGAACGGAGGCCCTTGTGCGTTGAATCAATCTGCAGTTTACATGGCTCTATTCAATCAACATTTCAACGCCCACGACGCTCTAGAGGATGTCAAAGCTTTACGTCGAATACTTTTTGCATCACGGCTAAATCTTTCCTCCAGGGATCTGTTAAATCACTGCAAACCCATATCTTTTAACGAAGCTTACGACGACAATCTTTACCTTTGTAAACGACACAAACTATCCGAAACATTTGGAAGTCTTTTATACGACAACAGTTGTGGGAAATCAACGATCAGCAAATGCATGGTAGAAAAGATCGCCGGCAGCGGCTTGAGTTATGCAAACTTGAAAAACATCTTCGACAAATTTGGCAGAAAAGGACTTGTTCGAGTGTTATCTACATCGCCTCCCGGTTTCAAAAAGCCACGGGTAACAAAAACGAAGAAAATCTTGCTTGCAATCGTGCGCCATTTCGAAGCATCACATAAACAATAAACCGTGACGCTGCGGGAACACCACGCAAACAAAACACGAACATGCGCAGATACTGTTGTTGTCTTTTTGAAATTCTGTGTGGCCGCGTAAGTTTTTCTATTTTTGTTTTCGTTTTTCTTTAAATTTCTTCGGTCAATTTTTTAATTTTTTTGTATAATTAATGCATATATCATGTTTTTCAACATATCTAAAGATTAAAAAAATCTACACAGCAGTTTTTTTGGAACAAAAATTTGATACTATTTCAAAATTTGTCGTATAATTTGCCTTATTTTTTTTAAATTTTCTGTACCCCTGTATTCCGAATTTGTACAGAAAAGTTTAAAAAAAATTCACCGAAGGAAACTAAAGTTATGTCAAACTTTTGTCTTGTTTTTAAACTTTTCATCTCATTTTCCATACGACATTGCTGCCATAGAAACGCATTTTTGACATTTTTTGTTCAAAGCTTAAAAAAACCCAAGCTTTTTGCCAAAAATTACAGAGAATGGTTACTAATGTTAAGATATTACTTTTGGTGTCTACAGCTTATTTTTACTCAAAATTGTTCTAAGTGCAGGGAGCCACCTTAAATACGCTGATTCCAAGTAGGGCATGTTTGTCCATTTTTAAATGGGAGCGCAACTATGCTATTACAAACTAATAACATGGCTTTTCGGGAGATTAGTGATTAAATGACCCCTTACCCTCGGCAAACCTGCCTCGGGTTACGGGGCCATTTAATCACTAATCTCCGTCAAGCCATGCTATTACTTATAACATTGGCAGATAGTTTTGTTAACCCATTTACTGGCAGTACTCTATACCACTGACGAGTAAAATCCTCTGGCGCTGGACAAGGGAAGGGCGCATTGCCAGCTAATGGGTTAAACCACCGTGGTTAAACATAAGATTTCATGATGCTCCAGGAAATGTAAACAAGCTATCAGTGTGACATCCCAGTTTATATATTTATATACTCGGAATATTGATTTCTCGGTACATACAAAATTATTTTAAAGTATAACAACCAGCGAAGACATAAGGCACTAACTACCCTGTGCGGCTGCGCGCAGACTATATAACGACATATATATGTCATCCGTCCGGTCCGCCCGTCATTCATCCGTCCGTCCGTATCCGCGTTTTATTCTAACCCGTTTTTAAGGCAGTGCAGTTCGTCATGATCAATATTTTCAAAAGCGGCCAATTAGACCAGGGGTTAAAGGGCAATGACAATGACATGCAGGTGACATTTAACATTGCGTCTCACCAATTAAAATTTGCGTGTTTAATAGTGTTTATCAAAGGAAGCAAAAATATATACAAGACAATCTCACATGTGGAGTTTTTTCACTTACAGTACCTACTGCCTTGTGATGGCGCATTCAGAAAAGCATGTCATTGTCCTTGCAGACCATAGGTAAAAAGCATTTGTCAACCATGCACATACCAAATTAATTTACGCAATCGTTAAATCATATACATGTCATGGAAAGAATATGGAAATAATGTTGAATGAAAGCTAGCATCGCGTATAATATTACAAGCACCGCATATAGTGCTCGAACCACTGCGTATAATTGCAAAAGCATCGCGTATATAAATGGTGAAAGCACCGCGTATAATACTGGAACCACCGTGTATAATGGCGAAAGCACTGTGTATAATGCCAAAAGCACCGCCGCATAATGCTAAAAGCACCCAACAAAATGCCGTTTGATCACTTTAAGCCAGCTATGGCTTTCCATAAAAGAAGACCAAAGATGAAACACGATCACATTGCCTGTTTGCCTTATGCCTGACCGCGCTGCACCACGGTTAAAATTCACTGGTACCGTCATGCAATGCGCCAAATAGAAAATTTTGATTTCGACCCACAAAACAAAATTAGGATCTGCTGCCTTGCTCGCTCGCTTCAGGCTCGCTCGCTGCGGCAGCAATAAGTGACGGACGGTTATCGCGAGAACTATACAGTAATGAGCATGCAGAGAGAAGTGAGCAGCTTCTTGCATTTCGAGAAAGGAACTGTGTCCTCTGTAAATAGTGATGCAACTGCCTGAAAAATACAAAAAGTTGAAGATCTTTTAGTACTTTTGATGTTGATTGTAATTTAAAGCATATCAACTATTTTACAATTTTGTAACTCAGTTATTAAGCTAGGATATTCAAAAGGTTTCAGAAATTATTGGTGGTAGTTGTCCCCCTCCCTTATAGTGTCTGCCACTCTACCTTAGTCCATTCTGTTCTAAAATAGGCTATGTATACAGGAAACGTTCAGTAATTTAAGATTCAATATAGATAAATATGCATGGCAATATTCCATATAAATAGCCCAAATGAAGTCACAATGATAGCTCCCGCTATTCTGCCTGGTATTTTGCCAGGAAATTGGTAGTTTTCAAATTAATAAGTCGAGGTTTTAATGGGAGTGTGTAGTATTTTAGGAATTAGTGTGAACAAAAACATAAACAATATTAATTCTTTTTTGGAAAATGTAACGCAATCAGATTTCATATCCTTCTAATGTGGGTAATAGGCTACACATGCTTCCAGACATCAATACCAAACAATGGTACAAATCCTAGAAAATGGAACATAATGACTTCAGTCTAGCTTTTACGTCTCCAAATACGATAGAGCGACAAGCAATGTGGACAATGGAAACTTTCATTGCCCGAACAACAACCGAAAAGGTTATCCCAATTCAATTTGGAATCCCTACAATCAGGAGCAAATATTATTGAGACATCCTATTCGCCCCCCACTTCCCCCCAAAACAATGTTGTTTTCATGATACCAAACCACAGTGTTGGCTGAAAACATTCATCCAATATTGTCAATGGGGGAGGATAGTTAGAAAAGATCGAATTGTATGAGTGTAGCTATGGTGTCAAAATGGAAAAAAATCTTTGAAATACGTAAAGTCTCGTTATTTATGCACGTGATTATAGCTAGTTTTAGAAATTATTAAGATGGAGGAGGGGGTTGCTCCTCCACAACAACCCCCACCCCTAACCACATTGTGAACTTGGCATTAATGGTGACCATAACATTTACGATATCCATACCCTACTCAATGCATTACTTTGTGCTTAGCTAACAATATAGCCTCAACAAGTATATTTTAACGCTAACATCTTAATATCCAATGTCAAGTTGGGACAGGTGTCGAAAAAGATCGAAACTGCTGACCAAAAGGTAAGTATTATAAGTAAAATATTCTCCAGAAATATGCTGTAATACCCCTTTCTTCGTAAAGTAAAATAGTTTGGCGTTAGACGGGATTTATGTATACCTGGTAGGTTTACCGTTAGACCCTAAAGATTAGACCCTAAAGAATAAACCCTAAAGATTAAACCCTAAAGATTAAACCCTAAAGATTAGACACTAAAGATTAAACCCTAAAGATTAAACCCTAAAGATTAAACCCTAAAGATTAGACCCTTGAGATAAGACCCTAAAGTTGCACACGCATGATGGCACGAAAGGGACAATTCGCACTCTCTGAGCAAAGTTTAAGCTGCACAAAGTTTCACCAGCATTCTTGAGCGCCATGGAGAAACTTGCACCACCATGCATCAGCGTCTTGGAATCTCCCTCTTAAAATATATATTTTTCACACAATTATTTAATTTACAGTGTAAAATTAATGCTTGATCGAATCAAAGGTCTTTGTGAATCGGCGTTATACATATATATACAGTATAGTATCCCTTTGTTTTACCAAAATCTTTCTGTCTTAGAACTCTAATTCATTTTCTTCGAAACTGGCAAAGTAACCCAGCTAGCAAAATTACGTTGTCACAACGTTGTATAAACGTTGAAATAACGTGAAAAGAACGTTGTGATGGACGTTGTGTCAACGTTATTTTGTGAACTCCCAGAAACGTACTAAAAACGTTGTGAATAACGTTGCGCTGAACGTTCATACAACGTTCACACAACGTTTCCACAAAGTTTATACAACGTGCCCAGAACGTTTGTTCAAACGTTGCAAAATGTGAATATGAAAGGATAATTTCGGCGCCGTAGTAATATTGTTCATTATCGGGTATAAAACTAAAAAGAGTGCTTCGCTCCAACTATACAGCCGCTACTCGCATAAAAAATCCCATGGAAT